AAATTAGAGAATGTAATGCAGTCTTGTCTAAAAGAGCTCAGTCATCCTTTCCAACTTTAAAAAAGATCTGGGAAAAGGACTTAAGGATACGGATAGATGAAACTACCTGGCTGAATATCTGTGAAAAAACACATTTTCCATTCACAAGCAATAAAATCAAAGAAGCATTTCTCAACACATTTGACCTCACACCCATAAAGATGCATAACATTTCCAAAGAAAACTCTCCCAAATGTCCGAGATGTAAAGTAAAAGAAGGAACATTTGTGCATCTGTTTTGGGATCTCTTGAAACATTTCTGGGATTCGATTCATGCGCTCACAAAAGCCGTTTTAGGAATCGAAATGAGCCAAAGTCCATGTTTTTTCCTGTTAAATGAAATGCCAAACTTTAAACTGAACCCCAAACATTACAGAACACTAATCATAATAACATACAGTATTTTGCCAAGAAATGTATACTTTTACTCTGGAAGAATGAACGTCCTCCAACATTTAAACTTTTCATTGATCAGATAACACATTTTTTACCTCTGGAGAAAATGACATTGGAAAAATATAATCATAGACATATCTTTCGAGCTCTGTGGTTCCCATTGTTTTCTTATTTGGAAAATATATCTGAGATATGACCAGTGATGGAATGGTGCATTCTGTGGCTATCTTTCCTGACGGCCGGAAATACTAGTTGTGTCGTCATTGTCTATATTGTCGCTGTATTGTATAATTAATTGTATAATTATTTGTTTGTTTTACTTTGATGTGGGTTTATTTTTTTTTCCGTTTTATGTTGATTTTCATGGCTCTGTTGTTTAAGTTATATTGATAAGCATTTTTTTGTTTTTGTTTTTGGTTTCGCCCGTGTGGGCATGTGCGGGTGGAGGGAGGGGGGAGTGTAGTGAGTGTACTGTGGTACTGTGATATTACAATATAAATGAAATGGCATAGATTACTGTACACTATAATGAAATAAAAAGACTTGTAAAAAAAATATCCCGTTTATGCAAATCTGACAGTACAAGCGCTAGCCAATCAAACCGCGTGCAAGCTGGGAGAGCCATACCGCAGTTCATTTCCTCATATTCCAAACGAGAAATTACGGTAGCAAATCACCCGGTTCTTTACGACCAGAACTATTTACCGGGATACAAACCGGAGGAACCAGGCATGGAGGGAGGTGGCAGAGACAGTGGGTGAAACTGGTAGGTTTTCGCCTGTTTGGGGAGTTTATAGATATATATATATATTGCTCACTGCTGGTTTTTTGCTTTGTATGTCGGGGGCGGGATATTCATGTGATTGTTTGTTGGTTGCGTTGCTCGCAAAAAATCCCCAAGCTTTCAGACACGCCCACCTCCAAGATTTTCAAGATTTTTTTAACGCTGCTGTGTGGACGGGCCGTAACTATCAGACAATAATAACTTGATGAAAATGGCTCTAACACATAGGCTAACATAAGCTAACATTGGCTAACATGAGCTAACATTGGCTAATGTAAGCTCACGTTAGCTCATGTTAGCTCATTGCATTTCATTTATCTGACGCTTTTATCCGAAGTGACTGACTGACAATAAGTAGATTCAACCATGAAGAAACAAAGTAAAGAGCCAGAATCCTGCCGGTTCACTTCCTGTCTATAAACCCACCAGATCCAGTGCTCCTGGATTAGCTCCAGTTAGACACATCATTTGTATGTTCAGATGTTCAGATGCTACATTCAGATGAAGTGGAAACAGGTGATTTCAGTCTGCAGGAAGATGAGTAGATGCTGTTTTCTATGTTGAAAGAAGGTCAGACATTATATTTACGTTGCCACAACTCACCTGAAGCTACATGCTAGCTAGAGATATGCTGTGTCTTCAGTGTGTAGCATAGTAGGCCCTACAATGAGAACTATGCACCTTGTTTCATACAAAAACAACACGAATGCTAGGCTAGCTGTTTCTACTTGAATCCAGTCTTTAAGCTAAGCTAACGGCTGCTAGCTGTATGGTAGTTATATTGAGCTCATAAACAGGAGACTCAATCTGCAGCAAGAAAGCGAACGAGGGTTTTAAAGAGCGAGTTAAGGACAGGGGTTTAGTGAATTCAACTAACACACTGGATCTTGAATAATATGGATCTGTAGACGGTCTGATAATTGCATGATAACAGATTACATTTAGAGATGGTTAAACCAGAAGAGCTCTCTCATCAGGTGAAACAGAGAACAGGTGGACGATGACAGCATGTTGTTGTCTCTTTAAAGAAAGACACAGACGACATGAGGACAAAGATAGCAGAAAGAAAAGAGGGATGATTAGTCTGTCTGTAAATTATAGAGACTGCTTTAGACTCCTTATTTAACTGATGACAGATCCATGATGTCACCTGTAAACACCTGTCAGCTGATCAGAGAACAACATGAGAGACAAAGAAAATACAACCTGATGAGCAGAGGGCATGAAGCTAGCCTCTGTACGCTGCAGGGTTTATCATCGAATAGGTTTAAGGATTTAAATAAGGTTATTCAGTACACCTGAACATCAGCAGGAGAGGACTCTTTAAAGTAGAGACACTACATACTGATATACACCTGAACATCAGCAGGAGAGGACTCTTTAAAGTAGAGACACTACATACTGATATACACCTGAACATCAGCAGGAGAGGACTCTTTAAAGTAGAGACACTACATACTGATATACACCTGAACATCAGCAGGAGAGGACTCTTTAAAGTAGAGTCACTACATACTGATATACACCTGAACATCAGCAGGAGAGGACTCTTTAAAGTAGAGACACTACATACTGATATACACCTGAACATCAGCAGGAGAGGACTCTTTAAAGTAGAGACACTACATACTGATATACACCTGAACATCAGCAGGAGAGGACTCTTTAAAGTAGAGACACTACATACTGATATACACCTGAACATGAAACTTCTTTAATGTTCTTGTTTGGTTTCTGCAGAATCACGAGGATAAGGAGTGGAAGTTTGCTCGGGCCAAACTATGGCTAAGCTACTTCGATGATAAGTGCACCATGCCTCCCCCGTTCAACATCCTCCCCTCCCCAAAAACTGTCGTGTACCTGGTGACCAGCATGAGTAAGTGGATCTGCTCACACACGTCAAAGGGAAAGGTGAAGAGACAGAACAGCCTCAAGGTAAGAAAATACCAAACTCTAACTTGTATAGAGTGGTGCAGCGGTGATGACGTATTTTTGTAGGCCGACCCGGAAGTAAGCTGCGCAAGGGTTCCCTCGACAAGCGTTAGATAAATGCACGTTTTGTTCACCCGGATAATCTCCACATGTCTACTTTTACAATTTTCGAATCATAAATCTAATCTCCAGAAGCAAAATGCTAACGTTATGCTATAAAGGAACTACAGCCGAGTCCAGCAGCACGACTTCAACGTCACGCCAACTTAAGATCCATATTCAAACACACAGATTCTAAATGGTACAAGTTGAAGAGTTTGTGTTAACAGTTGGCAGGAGGCAGGAGGCATGTACTTGCTTTCAGGCAGAACTGGGCAAACAAACTCAGAGACAACGTCCTCGACAACTTCTGTAGTCCTATTCAGCCGCTTGGTAACAACCATCGTTTTTCAGACACGTCAACTCTTCAGAAATCACCAGTGGGGTCACTGCTGATGGATTTAATGTCGTAGAACAAAACGAGATCCGTCTCTTCAATTTGAGTTAAAAAAACTCACCGACTGAGACGAGGGAACCGGAAGCGGTGAAATGCGAACTCACTTCCGGGTTTTAGGACTCGTTCCTGCACCACTGATAGCTGCCAGTGCACTTTGTTACTTTCTGGAAACAAAAACACTGGTTTGTTCCATATCTTTGCATTAAATTGAATGCCTTTCTTGTCTCTTTTGTCCAGGAGTGGAAGAACCTGAAGCAGAAGCATGATGAGAACTACCAGAAGATCATGTGCTGTCTGGTTCACCGCTACCTGACCTCCACACGGCAGAAGATGCAGAGCACAGACCAGGCCACGGTGGAAAACCTCAACGACCTGCGCCAAGACCTGTCCAAGTTTCGCAACGAGATGAGGGACCTGCTGGGCTTCCGGACCTCCAAATACGCCATGTTCTACCCCAGGAGCTAAAGAACAAGACTCGATATATATATCTCCCCCTTCCCCTTTCGACACAACCTCTGCTTCTCGTTTATCTGAGATGCTGTGTGACCCGAGCATGTGCAAAAAAAAACTCTGCTCTTTTGAGTCACAGAGCCGACTTTTAAACCCGGACCTTAACTAGAAATATATATATATTCTCCACACAAGCCTCCAGACTCAGGCCCCATATGTATTATTCAGCTATTCAACCTTTTTGTAAATAAAGGAAGCCATTGTTTTAAACAGGAAGACGCTTGAATGGCGTAAAGAGGTGGTTTTGATGAATACAAATTCTGCTTTTCAGATTTGTTTCTGTCCTTTGAAACTGATCTTTTTGCAACTCAGAGAAAGCCAGAAAAATGTCAAAAGTTCAGCAGGTGAGTCGCATTACACCTAGCATTAGCTGACTCACACACTGTTTGTTTTACTGCTGAACGTTTTTGTACAGACAGACGGACAAAGGGAACATGTTTAAGGGAGTTTTATTTGGGAAGATGAAAACAATAAAATATAAATAATATTCACAGACTTTTTCATATGAAAATATTTCTCATTTCATTCCACTGCCTTTTAAAAACAAGCTAATGCTGATTGAATCCGTAAACATATTAAAAGGAAAAGAGCTTTAGCTAGGAAAGGTCCACATAAATCCAGCATTTCCAAAAGAATCATTTAAATATATTAAATATTGCACTTTTTATTAATCGCCCCTTTTAAAAACGTCCTAAATTCGTGCCCATTACAGATGAACACAGACTATTGACTGCAGGTGTGATCGAAACTACGACAAATCCCCTTTGGATATGAATCAGGCTTGTGAAGTGTTAAGACTATATTTGTTTAAAGCATACTCAATTATAAATCCCCACAGCTTAAAGGGGAAACTGGAAAGTAGGATGTAGAAACTGACACTTTGGAACAATCTGATTAACGTTTGATTTACAAAACATGTGATCTGCTTTACTTCTCCTATTCTGGGCTCCTTTTGCTAGCTGTAATCCCTGCTAGGGGTATGACAGGAATGTGAGTGGCGGAGTGAGAATTGGCTGTGGAGAGGCATGGAAACTTCTTGTTGCCAAATGTTGTAAAACAGACCGATGGGTTTATTTAATAGAAGACAGTTTAGAAGTACTTAATGCGTTCCTGTTTATCCTTAAACCATGCAACCCTCAGCCGGATAGCAGAACTAAAATGCCCCTAATTGAATGAAACACATGTGTTTTAAGTGTTGTGTTGTCAAGATGGAGATAATTGTCTCCATCCCGGGGCAGAGGAGATCCTCGGCGCTACTGGAACTCAGCACCGCTTGTTTTTCAGGACGTTGAGCACTTTCTGGTTCTTTGTCTTGAACGCCATCACAAAGTGCTGCGGGGCGATTTTCCCGCGGCCGTCCTCGTCCACCACGCCCATGAAAACGTAGTTCAAACCTGGGAAAGTCACACACAAAACACCTGAATGCAGTGGCAGAACAGACATTCAGGGAGGCCACACATCAGATTCTCCTCACGGGCAGGTCTGTATACCATATGTTTACAAGTTATATAAACATATTTAATGTTCTGACTGTTTGAACAGTGAGTTCTGCCGCTCACCTTACACTTTGGGGCGAACTCTATCAACAGTCAGACAGCAAAGGAGGCCAACTCAGAGCCGTAGGTTATGCAAAACAGTCAACTAGCAACTCATACTGATTATATGAGATAATGTTTTCCTTTAGCATCCCTCTGTGGACTCACCTCTCCTGATAAACGGACACTTCTTGCACAGGATGATGATCTTGGTGCTCATGGTCTTTCCCGCCTGCTGGATGGCCAGACTGCCTTCTTTATACACGTTGATGATGGAGATGGTGGCGTACATACTTCCTTCTCTCATCACCGCCGTAATGACAGTCCCGGTTATCACTGACAAATACACACACATAGACACAGGTCTTTAAAAAAACAAAACACACTCAATACATAAAATAAAGGATACTGAAATCTTCTTAAAAAGACAAAATATATATATGTGCCCTTTGCACTGATACAGCAGAATCACAACGAGTCTTAGCTAAGAGCTAAATGCTAACGTTAGCGTGTTAACATGCTCCCAATGAATGTGCTAAATGAACAAGCTATAGTCAAAATGTTTACTATAATCACCATCTTAGTTTAACATACTAACGTTTGCTAATAGCACTAAGTTGTCAGAGTGTTTAGTCTACTACTATTTGTACTTATTATTTATTGTTTGTTATTTCCAGGCTGCCTGTAAAGATGTCATGTTGAATTAACAGTATCTTTTTTCAGGTTAATATTCTCCTTTTATGACTCTTTCCTCTTCCAGCAACTAGCAGCTCCTTCTCAGAAGTTTAAGAAAGCACAACAAAGCTATAATTCACAGTCATTTTAAAACGTTCAACGATAAGTGTTTCCAGTAAACGGCCCTGCGTGTGACAAGGTCAGGTTAAATATGTGATAGCATAATTGTCCGTCTGACGGCTAAAGTATGGTGTGGATCTGAGGTCACTGTATATATTACACAAGAGAGAAAACAGATAGCACTGGGGCTTGTTGTACCTGGTCAACAAGTTGAGCATTTTAAACTAAATTGCCACAGCATCTACCAGTTTTCTACTCCTGTGTCTGACCCATACTTGCCAACCTTGAGACCTCAGAAATCGGGAGCATTTCAAAATGCAAAATAGGGG